TTAACTTCATTATTATTAAAAAAATTGACCACAGTAAAATTGATATTCCTACCCAGGAGGCTCTTTTTGATACTTTGGTATGAAGATATGCAATTACACTTATGTACATATTCATATCTTGAGATTATTATACAAGAAATCGTTACAATCTCCGAAGAAATTTTTCATATGAGAATATTATATCTTACAGCTGACATTCCAACTGAACTGACTAGAATAAAGATCTTTTATACCCTTTTATACTACAAATGCAACTAAAGAGGTATTATAGCTTAGGTGGAGCCGAAGTTGAAGTGTTTTTTCTCTTAATCGAACCAAACGAAGTCTTTCCCGCACTGAAACGTCTGTATACAGCCTTATGAACTTTTGTGTGAATTTTCTTTTATTAAGAGAAAGCATTTCCGTCAAAGCTTAGAATTTTATAAGCTATAAAGTAATGAAAAACATATTTGTTCTCTTGTTGATGTTATGACCAAATTTTGGCAAATGAATTTTATTTTGCACTCCTGAAAACTTACAACTTTCCAACTATATTTTCCACCCTGTATCCTTGCCGTACAAGCTATCAAGCTCGTTATTCCAATAGCGCGTATAATAACTACTTCACAGCAGTAAACAGTGAAATGCCCATCACACGATTACGAATTTCAAATAATATATATAAGTGCAATAATTTGGGCAAAACAAAGTAATATAAACAACAAAATATGACAGAAGCGATAAAACAACAGCAAAACAAGAAATGCCGAGAGAAAAATGAAGAAAAAGCTAAAAATCCGCATTCTGCACATGCTTGAAATCGCAATTGTTTTCTCTTTAATGTACTTTCAATTTTAACATGAGGGCCTTAGCTCGCCGCCTGAATAGACTGGCACAGCAACTACCAAAAATTGTGTGCGAACTTTGCTGCTGCCCATTCACCGATTTTGCCAGCGTAGGGTTTTCACTTGGAGTGTATTATTTTTTTTCTTTTTCTTTTTATTTTTGTTTTTGTTTTTTGTTTTTATTTTTGTTTTTGAGCTTTTTTAAATTTTTTCCTGGCGCTGTTGAGTGGTCATTATTTTGTATTAAAGACGGCATATATCTTTGTACTACATATGAATTACATTTTGTACAAATTTATGTACCAATATACACCCGTGTGTACAAATGTGTATCGGTATGTATAAAAAAGTGTGCACGATTTTTGGCTTACCGTTCAACAATTGCAAAATTTACGCAGTCAAGTGCTTGTAGGCTCGCAATCACAAGTGCCAACGTATGTTCATATGAGTATAGGCACTTGCCCAGTAGGAAAAAAGTAGGAAAAATTACAGCCAAGAAGAAGTGTTTTAATAGAATTAATAATGGAAAGTAATAATTGCTTTAAGAGGTTATATACATACAGTTAGAATTTTCAAAAAATTAGTTTTTTAAATTTTATTTGCTTAATGTACATATATTTTAGAATACACACAGAAAATTTCATATTGTTCCGGTGATTTTTTGCGTAGTTACACGCAAATTTGAAAAGGCGCTTCAGAGTGCTCGGAAGTGCATTCCAAACTTTAAACGGGTTTTTCTCAAAATGGTGTTTCAAAGTCGGTGATCAACATTGCATTTTACATAATTTTTTTTTAGAAACCGTCACTGTGCCAAAAAATTTTTTGTTGCTTATTCCTTATATTTGCTTTACAAGATTTAATATCACTTTACCGAAATCTTTCTGTTTGTTTTTTTAATTTCAGAGGATCCAGTTCAGAGAAATAGTAGTCGCCGCAAAACGTTTTTTTGTTTGTTTTTTGAGAGGAGCTCTCGGATACCAGCTGTGGTTCCATTCCAAATAAATATTTTCCCTAATATTAAGTCTTAAAATACAGTTAAAAGATACCATCCAATGTGTACAAACTTTTTACTCAATCAATTTTTCTCAAAAAATAATCTGGAATGTTTGCTTTCTTCGGCCTTCTAACCGTGTATAACCCATTGAAATTATTTTTAAAGAGGCTTTTTTAATGCCTTCAGTTTGATACCATTCAATAATGTAGCATATATCAGCAATTTAATTGAATACACATTTTGTTAAGTAGCAACTCTATAAAAAATATTATTACTTCCACTGTTTACACTAGCTAGGTTTGGAATTTTTTTTTTTTACTTAAAAAACTTTTGACTCGAAATTTAAAATAAATTTACAAATTTTTTGCCTCTAAAATAAAAAAATATCTGTTACAAAAAGCAAAAATATATCTAGATCGATTAAGTGTTTAATTCGCTGACGCTCTGATACTAAGAATATGACGGAATTTATTTGCTGCTAAGAAGCGTTTTATAATAGACAAGAATTTTAATATGTCTTCTTTCATAATTTACACAATTACATGCTCGTACATACATACATATGTAAATATTGACGAAATCTGCACCTGCATTAGTTTGCATTGAGTATTTTGAGAAGCTAAAAATTTCTCACGCCAGTATGGCACAGCGGCGCAGAAGCAGAATTTGATGTGTGGGTTTAGCTTAAAATATTTCGTAAACTGTTTGCTATGAAAAGACTAACCTAAATACAACCCAAAACTTAAAACAACAACAAATAAACACAGTAGCGTAATTTATGCTCAGCGCTTGAGCACAATTTGTTCGCTTGCCTTATTTGCAGCCAAAATGGAAACAAAAACTCACTGGCGACTTATCCGGTTTAAAGAAAAATACTAAAAAAAATAAATTTGCAACTAAATAAATCAAATCTGAATTGCTAAATTCACTAAAAGCGCAGACCGCACGAGAAAAAAACGCGAGAATATATGCAATCAACAAACAAGTGCAGAGCCAACATCAACAACAGTGAAAAACAAAAACACACGATAACGCATATTTAGCCGAAAATGGATTTGGCAATTGCCAAAAGTGCACACAGCACGCAACGGTGGCAGTCGCCAAGAAGTGGGTCAACATTACGCTGGCCAAAAAGTGCGACTGTTGAGGCCAAAAACACGAACAAAACTCAAAATCAATTGAAGTGAAATGATTAAGTTAAACAACTGCACAAGCGACGCGAAAGAGAACATGTTTTATAAGGTTTTTGTCTTTTTGCCACAACAAAAACAAAGCGTGCATGCATTCGTTTTCATAAAAGCGGTGGACGCTGCCGCAGGGCATTCCAAAGCACGTTGCTCGGCGGCGCTGGGTGTCACAGCTCCCAAGAAGTGTTTACGTGCGAGTTGCCGTTGCAGTAACACACCTTTCCACTGACCAGTTTTCGCTGAATGACCAAACGTGCGGATATGCAATCCATTGGCAGCAGCAACAGCAGCAGCGGCACGTTGCAACATGCCACGAAAACACACAGAGAAAAAATAAAATCGCGAAAATGCAAACAATTTCGAAAAATGGGCACAAAAAAGAGAACGCAATGTCGCCGATTATTGCACGCGCAGTGGAAAATTGCTTTGCTTGCCAGCGGCGAGCATGCTGTGTGCCAACAACATGTTGCACAGGCACCATTGCTCGCAAAGTGATGTGCTACTTGCGTCCAAGCAGGAAATGTGGAGTCAAAAATTAAATAGGGCCGTGGTAAAGGTTACGTATGCGTCTACATGAAACAGGAATTGAAAATTTGAGTAAAACTAAAGCTCAGTTCCCTAACCTGTATTCCATAAAATGAAACATTTCATTAATATTTTCTGTGTAAATTTAGAAAATGTGAATAATACATGTTTAAAGCCAACTAAGGCGCTTTCCTAGTGCTGGATGGATAGAAGATCTTTAAATTCCATTCAAATTCAGCGGTTTCAAGCTTAGAGTCGCAATATTCCCAAATTTTAGTAGCAAGATTTAGATTTAGACCTCGCATCACCGTGAAAAGAAGATCGACACCTACCAGCTGTTCGTCGATTTTAATGCTGCTTTTGACAGCACAAAAATAAGCTTACTTTGCGACGGTGTAAACTGACGTTAGGCAACTCCAAAAGCTCGGTCAGGATTGTAAAGGACCTCTTCAAGCCGTTTAATACGAAACGAGGCTGCATACAAGGCAACTACCTATCGTGCGACTTTCCAATCTACTCCTGGAGAAAATAATTCGATGATATTGATATCATTGGTCTCAATAACCGCGTCGTTAACGTCCATCTTGAAATCAAACGCAGAAAACTTTTGACAACAGGTGCTACTTCTAACTTAATAGGCAATTGAGAAGTAAAGTCCTCTTTCGACGAACAAAAACTAAACTCTACAAGTTACTTATAATATGCGTCCTGCTATATGGTGCAGAGACATGGACGATGACAACATCTGATGAGTCGTCGTTACGAGTTGAAAGAAGGTTCTGCGGAAGAGTTATAGACCTTAGCGCATTGGCAACGGCGAACATCGCATTCGATGGAACAATGAGCTGTATACGGCGACATTGAAAACACTCCAGCTCTGAAATTCGATGCAGTGTACGCCAAGGGAAGCAGACGAAGCGGGAGACCTCCACTCCGAGGGAAAACCAGGTGGAAAAGGTCCTGGATACACTTGGAATCTCCAATTGGCGCCAAACAACGGAAAGGTAGAACGACTAGCACGCTGTCGCAAACTCGGCTTTAACCGCGTAAGCAGTGTCTACGCCAATAAAGAAGAAGAAGAAGAAGTGGCCACAATAATGCTTAAAAAAATTCTAGTTTAGACCATTCAAATAGGGTCTATCGATTCTTTACCTTTCTTATTTTTCATAAAATAAGAATTGTACACCTTTAATTGACTTAAGACCTATAGCTGCATTGCTACCTTAGGCCTTTCTATAAGGCAGCTAAAGAAGAATGTGTTGGCAAACTTGTAAGGAAACAGAGTAAAATTTGGAATGGGTTAGCTTGTTACATACAATTCTTTAGCTTTTTGTAGAGTGTTTTATAGTAATACCTAGTTAAGGTTGAAATATATCAAAGCACTATACTTATGTATATATGTTTATCGATAATTAATAAGTGATTATTAACAAATATTATTTGTGAGTTAAAAGAATTCTATGTACTTACATTTTTGTTGTGAAGTTCCAGCAAAAAATTATTTTGGAAAGTGTCCCGCAAAACACTAGTATTTTATACTTTGGAAGGCGAACTCAATAGCAATCTTTCAGGTCTGAAAATAAGGAAAGGAAAACTTTTTCCATTAGAAGTAAAGAAAAATAATAATTTTTCAACCAAAACCAAAACTCAGGAAAAGTCTCTTAAGGGGTGAGTAGGATAACCTAATTTCAATTTTTTTGTTTGTTTTTTTTTTTTTTTTGCATTTTCTTTTGCCTAACACCCTAAGAATTAATGTAGAAACCCACTCCACCATTGGAGTTTTTGGAAAAAGGCCCAAAAATAATAATACAGCTCGACGTTCACAGCGCGCGGAGTGCGTACCTGGCAGTGTCTCAAACTTTATATAACTTTTTTTTAAGTATCTTTTTAAATGAAACATTTTAATGAAATGGAAACAAATATAAATAAGCTTAAGGAACTAAACTATGTTGATATTTACTAAATATAAGATTTCCTTTCAAAACATAATCAAAAGGGTAGAACACGAGATACGCAAACGCGAAAAAGTGTAAATTTTCAAGCAATATTTGGGATTAAAAATTAACATTAATTTTTTAATTACATTTTTGGAACAAAAAGTTGTTTCTTTTATTCTACAGTCTGGTATTTGACTTCAAATTATTTTAACTATATTAGATATTAGATTTTTGGATAAATTTTGATTTGATTAAAAATTACGCAACGATTAACTCCATTATTTTTAATGATTGATCATTATAATAAAAACGTGTTAAAAACCAAAAATGATGTTAAAAAATCGAAAGTCATTTAGAAACGTTTACTTTATTCACATTTTCTTTTCATTGCGGTTGTTGTTACAGGAAAATAGCATAATTTATCTTTCAAGGACACATAAACATATAAAAATTTAAAATAAAAATATCAGCAGCAAATTACATTTTTTTTATTTTTATATTTTAGTACTCTTTTCTTGAGAATTAACATGTGAAGATATGCAATTAACAATTAAAAGAAATATTGAATTATAATCCAACGCTTAAAAGTGAAATTTCTCGATTGGCTCGTTACGACCCTGTTAGATCGTTAGCTAGCAACGAGAAAAAGCAAAAAAAAAATTTTAAATTAATAATGAAGTAAAAATGCAAGCTGAAAAATAATTCACACACTGATAGAAGCGATTAAGTTGAAAAAAAAATTAAAAAAAAACAATGCATGTATGTTTATAAGTATGCCATTCAAGCTGACCGAGCGTACATTCATTCACTTCTTGGCCGTCGATAATCAGTGGCGCGGTCAACAAAAGCCTGAGAAACAAAAGAGCCGTTTGTAAGCCAAAGAAGTTGAACGCTGTAAACTCAATTCGGCCAAGCGCTTGGCCTTACTAAATTTTCACAACAACACGGGTAGCGCGCGTTAAGCCAAATGTCAAATTTCTAAGCGCGCGCAAACACTTGCAGCGTACACACACACACTCAGGTCTATTAGTTTGGAAGTGTGAAAAGCTTGTGAGTAGCTAAAGGCTAGAATTATTATTGCAACAACAATTTTTAGCAACACTTGTGTGCTTATATACAGATATATATGCAATTTTATATACTTATGCATCTGTACATACATATTTAGGGTATATGTATGTATGAATATGTGCCGGTAAGTACTTACACATGTATGTATATGTGGTATGTGAATGTGTCATATTAAGAAATATCCAGAATTCTCGCTATGACTTGGAAAAACACTTTGGCGCAAATGTAAGTTCAATTACAACAACATCAGTGATTTCATATGCAATAAAGTGCAGCGAAACTTTGGCATTAAATTACTAATGAGAAACAACAGTAAACAGAGCAATTGATATGTACAACAACAATGACAGTTATGTATATATGTACATAGGTATACATATACATACATATTTGCATGCATGTGGTTAAGTATGCCTAAAAGGTTCGAGCGAAAAATTGCCACAGCGTTTGAGTAAATGAATTGCATACCAAAGAGTTAACGAAGCGACCAAAACGATCGGTCGTTCGACCGCCGCACAGTCACCAACCCACCAGCGAATGCAGCAGAAGGCACACACACACATTTACATATCACGGTTACTTGATTAGATTGGCGCTCGCCACACATTTGCCAATGGAAAAGCCGCTAGTGCCAAAAAGCAACAATAACAACAACGACAAATGGAACAATGAGGCGTAAATAGTAAACAATGTATTGCAACAAGAAAAACAATCACCATTAGACGCCATTAAGTTATTTGGCATGCAGCTGCCGTTGCCGTTGCTGTTGTTGGTTTTGGTGTTGGTGCAGCAAGTGTTGCTGCCCATATGAGTACCTTGGCATACATACATATATGCATACACCCATATATATATATTATATAGTTTGTATATGTAGACGCCATTTGGGCCATTTGAGCCTTCATACGTTGCATGATGTAAACAATAAATATGTATGTGTGTTTGTAAATGCTTCTCACAACTGCCATTTGGCGAATGGATGCCGCCGTCTACAAACAACAATAAATATGTGCATAGATATATATATATATACCCCAGATATGCATACATACTATATATATGAAGGAGGGAATGTTCATTTGGACGACATTACTTTGCAATGCCGTTGCGGAAGACTAAAGTGTTCAGCAAAGAGTGCAATTTAAAAGGTGAAAATACACAAGCGGTTTAAAAGATTTGTTAATTCACTCTTTTATGTCATGTCATGTGAGTTGTAAAGGTTAAAATCGTCGTGTTGGCATCAGAGCGTTAGCAGAGAATCTCAGCAGCTCTTATGAATCGATCGGATTGACTCAACCATTTCTCTTAATGTATTGGGTATGAAGCATGGTAAAGATAGGCTCTTACCAAAAAAACAAACTGAATGCGCCGTCACATTATAGCATGATTGTGACTGACTTTTGGGGCAAACACGTAACAATGTTCAACCCTAAGCCACCGTATTCGCCCGCCTGATATGAACAAATGCAGATCTGTGGTTAAACTCATTTTTATTATGGTCTGACCAGGATATATTAAGCTTGGCACGAACTGTGTAACACAAAGAAGAACAAGTAAGGAAGAATTAAGTTCAGTTTATAGGAAATCGATTCTTTGCTCCAAAAAGTATGCTAACAAATCTGCTTAATTGTCTAGAAAAAATATGAAAACATTTCAGCCAGTTGTTTCGCTTTAAGATGTATTGATTCAATATTTGTAATCGTCAATCACTTTCTGTATCTCTAGTACAGACAAGGTTAAAATTTATAATGTCTTTTTTTTTTTTTTTTTTTTTTTTTTTTTTTTTTTTTTTTTTTTTTTTTTTTTTTTTTTTTTTTTTTTTTTTTGTTATAACAGAAAATACAAACATCAAACATGTCATAACATTTCTTACCGGGTATGCAATTTGCAAAATATTGTATTTGCTGTTGCTGCGGTTTGTTGTTGTGGTAAATGCTCGCAAATAATTGCTATTGTTGTTGGCATTGCTAACCAAATATTTAGCCGTAGAATATTGCGTTACGCTGGAATGGAAGCTTTGGCATAACGCCATACCGTGCCTGTTGTTGTTGCAAAGTATGAACACCAACAACAGCAGCAAGAATTGGCAACTGAAGTTTTTGCTGAGTTAAAACATTGGCAAGCTGCGCGATTTGGGCCACGCTTCAACGACTTGTGCCGCATTTGGCTGTCTATTGCATGGTTGTAAAAAAAGTGTTCGTTGTTTTTGTTGTTATTTCATGTTACTTAAACCACTTGTACGCTCAATTGGTTTGGTTTGGTATTTTGAAAGCATTGGCTTTTTGTATGCATATTTTTATTTACTTTAGACACTGAAATTGTTGTTGTTGTAGTTTGTTTGTTCCCCGCTGCCTTGGTTTTGTCTTAATTATGTTTGTTGTTGTGGTGACCAAGTTTTGCTGCTCGTTCTTTGTCCATTTTGTTGCACTACTTTAACGATCACTGTTGCCACTGGGACTCTTGTTGTTGTTGTTGTTGCAGTTGCTGTTGCAAATGTGCTATTAGTGTCGCATCGTTCGCCTGTTACGTGAGAAAATTTTTAAGCCAACATTTTCGTTACGTAGTTTTTGTTGCAAATTGCTCTTGCGCTGCCACTAAGGAGAATGTGTGTGGAAAGGTATGAATTTGGCCAACGGCTTAGCCAGATTATCATTGTACATTAGTAGTTGGTTTTGTTGTTGTTGATTTTTCGCTATATTGTTCTAGCTGTGCGCTGAACTTACCGCAATCGCTTGGCTCCTTCACTTCGTGCTTTGCGTTTGGTTTTTTTGTTGCGCTTTTCTACGTTGTTGCTGGTTATAATTTAGTTTTTGCCTTTTTTTTGTGATTTTTTCTGGCTATTAGCCATTTATTGATTTAAATACGTTTGTACAACTTAGCTGAGTGATGCAAATTGAAGTTCGTCCAAACTTGGGCTTGCCTCACTCTGGTATTTGGGTGTAGACACACACATGCTTACATATGTATGTCTCTGCATATTTGCGTGGATGTGTTCATTAATGAGTATAGAAAATGCACCAAAGCGCTAGATTTCACAAATATTAACCGCGACTATAATTTAGCACGAATTGGTCGTAAATGTTTTCCAAAAAACACTAAATGTTGGTGTCATACGTAATTGCATAGATGCTTAAGTTCATATATTACCTATAAATTATAGTTATTTTTCCGTTTTTTAAATAAGTATATATTAAATATGCCGAATAACACATGCATTTACATATTTTAAAGATTAGAGATAACCATTTAACCAATAAAATCTTACTGAAGAACTTCCCTACGATAAATGAGTTAGAAAACAGTTTAACGTATGAATGTTTTTAAAGAACAAATGTGGTTGAAAAGTAATGTACAGTGGACCAATAAAGTTTACTTTCACCTAGTTCTTTAAATTACAACACGTTTATTTGTTTTAAAATTAATAAATTTTGTAATTTTTTTCTATTAATTTCAAGATATGTATATTTAACCTTAAATATAGCATATCAAAATATTTTTTTTTTACACAAATAAAAAAAAATGAATGCTAAAGCTTAAAATGGGCCGTACTATTCGTAAGGCCATC